AATGAAAAGATAAAAAGACATGGGAGGGAGAGAGGAAGGAAAGGAAGGAAAAGGGAGGGAAGGAAGGAAGGAAGGAAGGAAGGAAGGAAAAGGGAGGGAGGGAAGGAAGGAAGGAAATGGAAGGAAGAGAGGGAGGGAGGGAGGGAGGAAGGAAGGAAGGAAGGAAGGAAGGAAAAGGGAGGGAAGGAAAGAAATGGAAGGAAGAAAAGGAGAGAGGAAGGAAGGAAGGAAGGAAGGAAGGTGGGCGAAGGGAAAGATTCACACACACACATACACATACACAATCTCAGCTGACCTGTGTGACTGCAGCCTCTCTCTCTCTCCCCCCCCCCTCTCTCTGCTGTCCCTGGGTTTACATTCATCTCAAGCCAAGTTCCCTCTACCAGCCTTTGCCACTGCATGGCAGCTGGCTTGGGTGTTCTAGTCAGTTCTGGGTGGTGAGCTCCAATGTGGAACCTTTTAAACCCACAAACTTTTGATTCCACCTTCTTGACCCAACAGGCAGGCCAACCTTTTCTTCAACTTATTACAACACCTCACCCTCCACAGTGCCAGAGACAAGATTACTGTGGTGGTCTCTTTATTGGGAGATGGTCTCCTTCTGGCCAGAATGAACCCACGACTCTGAGATATATTTTGCTGTTGCCCTTTTTATGCCAATGTACGTACAGGAATGCTTTTACATCTCTTAATCTCCTCTGAGGCAGAGATGACTCGTTTTTTTACTTGCAATTCAGACTGCAGTTCATCACCAGGAAAATTGCTGCTAGGTTTTTATCTGCAGGGATTGCCTTTAGCATAATGCATCCCAATTTTTGACAGATGAGATTGTTAACATTTTGTTTTCCCTTTTACCTTCGCTTAATTAATATTTTATTACATACTATTTTTAACTGTATGCTATTTTATCACATCTATTCCATTTTCCCTTTTATCTTGCTAGTCCTTGACCATAACTGAGTAGCTGTAACTAAATAGCCCGTATATATTTTATCATTTGAAAAGAAGGGGAATGCGTACTGCATGTACTGCCTATTATTTGAAAAAAAGTCAATTCCTGGATTTTTCCCAATAGAAAAACTGCTCTCTCAGCACCTGCTGGGAACCCACTGAATGCTTAAGAAGCTGTAATAGCCGGGTACTTCAACTCTACACCTACTAGTTGGTAAACCTTCCTTTAAAGAGCCCTCAATCCTCTCTGAAGCTTGACATGCATATACCTGGAAAACAGTAGAGACTAAAAGGGTTATCTGCTGCTGGATTCATAAAACATGCTTAAACCGATCAGTTTAAAAAGCAGTGGTGCATTTGCACGACAAGCTAAATTGGGTACAATGACACGTTTGAGACTTTCAGACAGTCCCTGGAAATGGTGAAAGAGAATAACGGAATAACGGGGTCGGAAGGTACCTTGGAGGTCATCTAGTCCAACCCCATGCTTGGGCAGGAGACCCTATACCATTTTGGACAAACGGCTGTCCAATCTCTTCTTGAAAATCTTCAGTGTTGGAGCATTCACAGCTTCTGGAGGCAAGTCTTTCCATTGATTAATTGTTCTAACTGTCAGGAAGTTTCTCCTTAGTTCCAGGTTGCTTCTCTCCTTGGTTAGTTTCCATCCGTTGCTTCCTGTCCTGCCTTCAGATGCTTTGGAGAACAGCTTGACTCCCTCTTCTTTGTGGCAACCCCTGAGATATTGGAAGATCCTATCATGTCACCCCTAGTCCTTCTCTTCGTTAGACTAGACATACCCAGTCTTTGAAAGAGGTTTCAATGCAGTGTAAAACGTTCATTAAGGGAAATTGCCTTGCTGTCTTGGTTTAACTTAGATAATTGCATCACCCTTGTATCATGAAGCACCTTGCTGAAATGACATACGCCATCAAATCAAGCCTACTCTGAACCAGGTAGTTCCTTCTTAGTTCATGCACTGTGTAAACCCAGAAGATGGGCTAGGTCAACCACGTTGTATGTATCTGAGCTACATATTTAACCTGGAACATCACAAGAAAAGGTGTTGAGAATTTTTGAAGTGAGGTGGCATTGTCACACTTCCCACTGAAGGTCTCACCAAGTTTATTTACTGACATTAAATTTGTTTCCCCACTTTGAGGGGACTCTTGAGAGCCTTGTAACTATTAAAAGCCAATAAAACCATGAATGATAAATATTCCTAGTAACAGTAATAGTTTAAAACACAGGGAGGAAGGGAGAAGGATTTGCAAGGGGGAAGTGGGATCTTCTCTCTCTCTTTTTAAAGATTTTATTAAGTTTTATAGGGTTAGGGATAAAATAGGCTCAGGATAGGGATCCTTTAAGGTGGGGTCGGGATCAGGATTGGGATTGGGATTAGGACAGGGTTGGGATCAGCATTGGGGTTATCCCCCAATAACATTTTCAATATTTAGCAAACAGACTATTGTTCGGGTACATATGTTCAGCTAACAATAGTTAACATAGTGATAGATAACTGTAGGAAATATAATAAACAATAATCATAAGCAGTATCAATTAATCAATGCATATCATTCTTCTTACTAGCATGTATTCAAAATAACATATCACATTCGTTTCTCACTAGTTCGTTTTCCTAACCATTGGTAAAAGTTATCCCACGTTTTAAAATAAATTGAATCTTCTTTCTCTTTAATCTCTAAAGTCAATCTATCCATTTCTGCACATTCTAAGATTTTCTTAATTAAGACCTCTTCAGTTGGTAAGTTTTCATTTTCCCAGTATTGGGCAAATACTATTCTCTCTGCTGTCAATACATGCAATATTAAATATTCATTCTCCTTCTCATGATTAGGTCCTAATATTCCTAACAAAAACAGTTCTGGTTTAAATTCTATCTGTTTTTTAATCATCTTTTCCAACCATGTGTGTATCTTAACCCAAAACGTTTTTGCTTTAGGGCATGTCCACCATGGGATCTTCTCTTAATTTACCAATCACCTCCAGCATCATACTCAGTTCCTGATCCTGGTGATATGACAGTAGCAGAAGCTATCTATGGAACGATTCTAAACGAAGAGCTCATTAAAATATTTCTTTCATATTGGGAAAAAGTCAAGCATCCATCGCTTGCTTTGTTAAGAAGCAGAAAATGATGGACTTCTCATACTGGAGAGAGTTTTGCTAAGCGATAGGCTTTCCTTCTAAAGTAGTTTTCCATGTAGTCCCCCTGGACTAAGTTTGGGGCAATTTTTGCAGGAGGTTAAGTGCCAATTTTAAGAGCCGTAGATACACAAATTTGGGAATTGCGATGCAGCACCTATCACTATTTGCCAACCATTCCTATCTTTGGAGATTTGGTAATGGCAGAACAGGGCAGATGTATATAATTGTTGTTATGGAAGTGAGATCTCTCAAACAATCCAAAGGTTTTGTTACAAGTGCTGAACAGAAATAATTTTCCATCGTATCTATGGGTTGAAGAGGCAGGGGAGATTGTCCACTCCGTGTTTCTACTTCTCCAGAAGATCTGGGATCCTTCTGTTGTATTTTGAAGAGGTCAACTGCCCCTTCCTTCAAATTGTGGAGAATATTTGGAGAAATGTGGCCAAAGATGACATCTGCATGTCAGAACAAACATTAATAATCTTGAAAACATGTCCAAATTTAATTTTTGTTTGAAGTAATGCTCCTCTGGGGGAGAATTTTATAACTCATGCATAAAAGTAGCAGCATCAGGCAAACAACGATGTTTTTCGTTTCTGCTACTGGTATTGTCTTTTGATTCGTGTAATGCAAATATCCTGATTCCAGCATTTTTTTAAAAAAAAAAGTGAAATGTTTTTTCAATTTGGAACTTTGAAATGGGGATTAGGTGGATATCCAGGGCCAATCCAAATGACTGAGCTGATTTCTTCCAAACTACGTGATTAATTAGAAGGTGCAATCGAATTTCCTTCAAACTAATCTCTGGATCAAACATCTACACAGTATTCCTTTTGAAAAACCTGAACTCATAAGCTCTTTTTTTCCAAGGAGAAAAAGGACATCTTTGAGAAGCTGTGAATGATGGCTCCATGCTAGCTCCATTCCTGAAGCTAACCCTTGGCTGCTGTCCCACAGTGAGAAGCATCTGGATCCATGGATCACATTAATTTCCTACAAAGCTGCCAAGCAACTATCTGAGAATTGTGGAAAATTAAAGGGATGGCCTAGACACGGAGTTTGAAGCATTGTCATCCCATCCAGATAATTCAACCAGAAATCTCAAAGAAGCAAGAATAAGATTCAA